ACAATAGATCACATTGTACATAGTTTCTGGTTCACAATTTTTGCTTAGATATTGAGAATAAACCCTGTATGAACTAATGTATTATTTCTCTTTATTTAATAATAGAACTTGCTATGCTTCTTCATAAAAATACTATTTTAGAGTCAGTCCTGTAGCACAGTAGTTAAGAGTAACACAAGGAAGGATGGATTTCATATGGCTGACTAGGGTTCCAGTCTAAGCCCCATTAGGGTGAAAAACACATGTGCCTAGGGTTCTGGTGAGATGGAGAACTGGAGGAAATAAAGGATTGCAGTGGGACCAGCAGGTGTCATGGGGGTTAAGGCACTGGACTCCCACATGGCCAACTGTAATTCGAGTCCTAGACCTGGCAGCTTGAAAATCACACCAGGCATTGTGTGCATATGTGCCCGAAATCCTTAGAAGAGAATGGAGGAGGACAAATTGCAGGTAGGCCATCCCCTTCAGGGGTGATTTATCATTTTCCCTCTCACTTTCTTTCTCTGCATGCACTACATTTTTTAAAGATAAGAATTAAAAATGATCACTATCTGACTCTAATTCTGGTTTACATTATGTATTTTATTTTAAAATATAATAAATTTCAGAAAAATGTTCCTTTGGCATTTGTAATTGAGCTGAGATCGGATTGGCTTTCTTTGAAATGTAAACACAAAGTTCTCCTTTAAAAATGGTTTTGGGCTTTCTCAACCGTATTTTAATGTTACGGCTTTCTAACAATCTTATGAAACTTAGGGAGTTCTAACAATATGGAATGTTATCATTTAAATTGAAATACTGAGGAAGTAAAAACCAATCAGATATTAAACATTTCATTATCTAAATGCTCATCTATGAAAATTATTTTCTATAACTATTGTATATAGACTGTTACAAAATGAGTATTTTTATGTCAGAATTATAAAATCGAAGCAAAAAAGATCATCTTTCTCTTATAAAAATACACAAAAACATATTTAAGAGCCCAAAATCAAAATCAAGTATCCACTGTGTGGACATTGCAACTTTGTATTTCATCTAAAATATGTGATGTACACCTATAGATATATCTGTACAGCACCACCTTTTCTTCCCTTTCCAAATATTGAAATGTCCACCGCTAAAAAAGAAAAAAAAAAAGAAAAACAGGCAAAAAAGTAAGAAAAATGAATGGGAAAAGTTGCCTTGTAGGCTTGCCATCACTGATGAGGACACACATGGTCAGCACTCTGCCTTACCCACCACCGTGTATCCACCAATGGCAACAGGCCCATTCCTTACCAAGAACAGGACTGGGTGCTCACATGGGCAGTGACGCTGAGCCAAGGCCAGCTGCAGTGTTTTTAATTTGCTTAATTCTCCCACTCCCACCTCTTAACAGCCAAATGACTGTCTCCTTAAAAAATACTGCTGAGTGGGTGCATAAAGCAGTCCTATTTGCCAACTGTAGAGGGTTCCTGCAAAGCTTGTGGGTATGTGTAAATTAATTCCCTCTTCTATTTTTTTATAACTAAGAAAAGGGGCGGGGGGGAACAGACTCTCTTGTGTTTCCTGTCGCCTTGCAATGGTAATGTATGTGTGACATATTTTTACCCCTGAAATGCAAAAGTACTTGAGAAATTGGCCAAGACTTTATTGAAACTGACTGAGGACTGATGGAAGGTTATAATACACTCTGCCTTGTGCAGGCTCTAAGGAAACCTCCAGCTGAAAATATATGGTAAATTCCTAACAAGAAAAATCTTCTAAACCAAGCTAAAAAGAGTCCCAATATACAGATTCTAGGGTTTCATGGAATTTTTATGATAGAAATGATGTAGGATTTCAAATAAAGAAGAGAACCTTAATACTGATTTACTTAAATATTTTCAATAAAGTGTATGTGTATTACATATGTATATATAAACACATACTTACATACAAATACATATAGTCTTATATTATTCACTACTTTGCTTTATTTTCACATTGTTTCACACTTCTTTTTCCAATCTCTCTTCTCTTACTCCACTCCAAGTGTTCTATTCTAGTTAACACTTTTTAAATCACTAGATCCAGTCTAAGATTTGCTAATTTATTAAATCAAGCTTCATTTTAGCTCTCTTACCCAATCGTCAGAGAGACTGTTAAAATGTAAGGTACAGGGGCCAGAGGTGGCATGATGGCTAAGGTGCTGGAATCCCACATGGCTGACCACAGTTTGAGTTAAGACTAGATGGCTTGAAAATCATTCCATGAGTATGTGCAACCCCACTGGGGCCTGGGGAGGATGATTTCTCACTTTCTTTCTCTCTGTGTCTCTCTAGCAAGCACATGTACATTTTCATGACAAAATAAAAAATAAAAATAAATAAATAACTAAGATACAAATGGCATAAAAGCAGCATGATTGACTAAAAACATCTGTATACTGTGAGTTGTGGGTTGGATTCTAGTCAGAGTTCATTTTCTTACTTTTGTGATCTTGAAGTCACTAATCTTTTTCAAACTCAATTTCGCCCATTAGAAAATAGAAGGATTGAAGCAGTTGATCTCTAAAATTTCCTTCAGCCATCATCCTCTAAAATGTTTAATATATCTGAGCAAAAATTAGCTAGACATCCCTGCAAAACTTTGTCACAGCTCTTGATGCCTGGACAAATGAGAGATTATACAGTAAAATGTTTAGAATTCTTATTAGCTGGCTGTCTTCAGGCAAAGAACTACAATAAATATTCACCTTTGAGTATACTTTTTTTTTTTAATCACTGATGAAGCTGAATTAATTTTAAGTTAGTAACAACTACTAGGAAAAATACTTTCTAATCAAACTAATCAGGCAGAGAAAATTTACAAAAACAAAACAAAACAAAAAAAGACTTCCATGAGAGAAGTACTTTTTTTTTTAATGTTTTTTGCCATAGGGTGCATGTGCTGCTGGAGAGAGACAAGGAGAGGGAAAGTGAAAAATCACCCTCCAGGGGAGATGGTCACCCTGCAATCCCTTCTCCTCCATTGTCCTCTTGGGATTTTGAGCATGCAAGCACACGTGCCAGATGTGACTTCAATCTGTCAAGTCTAGAACTCGAACTGCAGTTGGCTATGTGGGAGTCCAGCACAATAAACACTACGTAACTTGCTGGCCCCAAGATAAGCTACTTCACCACCATCAATACTTTAGAAATAATTTACAGAAGGCACTTAAAATTGTTGATCTTTAAGTCAAGTCTCAGGACCAGAAAGTGGCACAGCAGTTAAGTGTGATACTCTAATAGGCAGGCCTACATGGGAAGGTTGCTGGCATGTACCCTATGGCAAAACCTAAATATGTATGTGTGTGTATGTGTGTGTGTGTGTGTGTAAACATATATGTATACTATATACATATTACCTTTATAATGCATGCTACATGTGCACTTAAAAAGAACATATAGTCTTTTGGATATAGTTTTGGATATAGTCTTACATAAATTTCAGTGAGGCTAAATTAATCAATGATTGTTTAAAACTTGTATATCTAGAATTTTCATTTGATTCTTTCATTATAACTTTTATTTCTGCACTGTTAACCCCGTCATTATGAACATCTTTTCTAGTTTTTGAGCACTTACAATAGCTGCTTTAAAGTCCTTGTCTACTAATTTCAACATCTTGGATATCTTTTTCTTTTGATATAACCAGTTGAATCAATTGAAACTATGCAAGCTATTGCATGGAATCTCTTCCGCACATGCACAGCCCAGCAATAAGCTAAGAATTTAAGAAGAGTTTGTAGGCAGACTCAGGTCTTCTCCATCTGTGACTTTCTCCTTTGTATAATTTCCTACTTAGTTTCTAGTCCTGGCAGCCTCAAACTCTGCTTTTTAATATGACACCTCATGCCTAACACTGAGGTCTTCTGCCCAAGATCTTTTAATAGCTCTCTCACAATGTAGACCTGAGAAAAAAGTAAGTGAAGATCTCACCCACTGCAGTTCATTTCTTTCAAAGATTAATTTCCCTCCAGTTTTTCTCTGCATGTCATCTCCTTCCAGTGCATTCAGATATTTGTTTTATACTATCCTAGATTATAATTATCTATAATTAATAAATGTATTCCCAGTGAATAAGAAAACACAAGTATGAAACATTCCCTTTTCAGAAATATCACTGTTAACTTTACCCAATTCCTTCTTTCCATCTTACTCTCTAACCTATCTCACAAAATCAGTAGTTTTCACAGAAGTTTATCAACAAATTCAGCACATCAAGTAGCAAAACAAAGAACCCCTAGGAGAGCCATTGAGAAGCATGCTTTATCATAATAAATTGCAGTCCATGGTTTTTAATAAACAAAAAAAGCTGTAACATATGCAATATAGTTTACTTAGCCTTCTTTTAGATATTAGAAAGGAAATTTCAATTGAGTCTAAAATACTAAATTACTAAAATACTGGAAAAAAAATGTATGTATTATATATTATATTCAAGTATATACATAATATACCAAACATAAAGTATATATATGTAAATATATATAATATATGTAAATATATTATATATATATATATAATATACGCGAACACATAAAAAAACTCACCAATTGCCAATATCAATAATGAGAGAGAGGGTATCAGTCCTTGAATAAGTCAAATGCTACCTTTCTTTTTCTTTTTTTTCCTTTTTTTGGAGAGGTTTTTGCCACAGGGCGCGTGCGCTCTCCAGAAAGACAGAGAGAGACAGAGAGACAGAAAGCGAGAAATCACCCCCCGGGGGGATGGCCATGCCACAATCCCTTCTCCTCTATTCTCCTCTTGGATCTTGGGCACGTACACACATGCGCCTGGTATGAGTTTAAGTTATTGGGTCCAGGACTCGAACCGTGGTCGACTACATGGGAGTCCAGCGACATAGCCATTACTCTAACTGCTGGCCCAGAGCTACCTTTCTTTAAAGCTAGTATTAAAGTCAGCAATTACATTGGCAATATCAAAAACAATGGTATTACTTGATCCTTTTCTGCTATCATATAAGAGATATACCTGGACTGTGGCTTTGAGTCTGGCTTCTCACGTTGTTGCTCTTTTTTCACAAGGGTTTTCTAGAATAAGAGAAAACAGAGTTGACCTAAGTAGAAAAAAACCTTCATTGCTCGATAAGAATTTAATTTCACTGATGTTCTGTTATATTATCAAAGGGAGAAAGAACCATCCTGTTAAGATATATATTACAAACCTTAACATTCAAATAGATTTGTAAGTATACTCAGAAGAATAAAATTGCTGTACCTTCTCCGACATCTTTTGGCATCTAGGAATACAATTTCTACTAATCATTTCAGTGAGCAGATATCCTTACAAATCTATTGTAAATGAGAATTTACTTAATGTTCCTCTGTCCTACCAAAAAAAAAAAAAAAACAAAATTAAGAAGGGAACCAGTAGTGGTGCAGCAGTAACATAACTGAACCTACATGAAAAAGGTCCTGAGTTCATGTCCTGGGATTTTTCTGAGCACACTGGCATGTACATGCCCACGATCCAGGCTTGCTGAGCCTATGGGTGGATCACAGCATGGGAGTCCTATTGGGATACTTCTCTTTCTCTGTCTCATGAAAAAAAAAAATAAATAAATATATATATAATATAAACTTCAATAATATTTAAGACATCTTAAAAAAATAATACATGTAAAAAGAGGAAAGTGAATAAGAAAATCAGGTTATAAGGGAAATAGGGGTAGAAAAATAATACCAAATATTTCCTGATATTTCTTGATCTTGATGCGTCACACAGATCTGATTCTCAAATATCTAGCTATGAAAGTCCTACAGAATGAATTGTGTTCCCCCAACAATAATATTTAAGACATCTTAAAAAAATAATACATGTAAAAAGAGGAAAGTGAATAAGAAAATCAGGTTATAAGGGAAATAGGGGTAGAAAAATAATACCAAATATTTCCTGATATTTCTTGATCTTGATGCGTCACACAGATCTGATTCTCAAATATCTAGCTATGAAAGTCCTACAGAATGAATTGTGTTCCCCCAAATCCATGACAAAGCCCGAAGTCTCAATGTATTTGGAAATGCAGTTATTTATTTATTTATTGAGAGGTTTTCTCTATAGGGCACCTGTGCTTGCTGAAGAAACAGAGAGAGACAGAAAGTAAGAAATCACCTCTCAGGGGGGGATAGCCACACCAGAATCCCTTCTCCTTTGCTCTCCTCTCGAGATTTTGGGAATGCACACCATGAGCCAGGTGTGAGATTCAGGTCACTAAGTTCACGACTCAAACTGTGTTCAGCCATGTGTGACCCCAGTGATGTAACTGTTATGCCATCTGCTGGTCCCTGTAGATGTAGTTATTAAGGTTAAATGAGGTCATGAAGGTGGGGACTTAATCCAATTGAAGAGGAATGCCTAATCCTTATAAGAATAGGAAGAGAAACCAGAAAAAAGTCCACGTGCAGTGCAACACAACAAGAAGGTGGCCCTCGGGACCAGCAGTTAGCGTAATGGATATGTCGCTGGACTCCCACATAGTCGACCGCGGTTCATGTCCCGGACCCGGTGGCTTAAACTCACGCCAGGCATGTGTGCATGCATGCCCAAGATCCCGAGAGGAGAATGGAGGAGAAGGGATTGAGGCGTGGCCATCCCCCCGTGGGGGGTGATTTCTCACTTTCTGTCTCTATGTCTCTCTCTGTCTGTCTGGCGAGCGCAAAAACCCTATAGAAAAAAAAATAAATAAAAAAAACCTCACCTCTAATAAAAAAAATAAAAAGGTGGCCCCCCTTAAGCCAAAGAAAGAGACTTTAGGAGAAACAAACTCTAACCCTACTGGCACCTAGATGTTGGTCTTCAAGCTTCCAGAACTGTGAGAAAATAAACTGGTGCTTAATCCACCCAGTCTGTGGCATTTTGCTATGGTGGCCCCAGTAAACTAATATACAGTGTGACAAAGAAAACACAGTAGTGAGGATCAGCAGGTGGCGTGGTGGTTGGGGCACTGGACACTCCCACGTGGTTAGAGTCTCGGACCTGGTGGCTTGCTTTCTCTCTCTCTCTCTCTCTCTCTCTCTCTCTGTATAGTCAAATTAAAATAAATGAATGACTAAATAAAATTAAATAAATAATTCTTAAAAAAAAAACAGTGTTAACACTCACAATGTCTCTAAGAAATGATGCAAACTAATTTTCAGTAGTAAATTTATTCCATATGTCTTTTCAAAAAGTCTGCTATAGTGGGCCAGCAGGTGATGTGGTGGTTGGGGTGCTGGACTCCCACATGGCTGACTGCAGTTTGAGTTCCGGACCTGGAGGCTTGCTTCCTAATTTTCCTTCTCTCTTTCTCTGTCTCTCTCTGGTGAATTAAAAAATAACAATAATACATTAATTAAAACCTTTTTGTAAAAAAGCCTGCTATAATGCACCAGCTTCAACAGCATCATTCCCAACAATTGCATGGAGTGTTTAATATAGATTTTCCTTACACAATCCTTCAATATTAGTCAATAATAGAACAGCTCACATAGATAAGTCTATAAGAACTACACAATTCTAGGACCAGCAGGTGGCATAATGGTTACCTCGTCGGACTCCCAATGTAGTCCACTGCAGTTTGAGTCCTGTACCCAGGGCGTGTGCACATGTGTGCCCAAAATCCCAAGAGGAGAATATAGGAGAAGGGACTATGGTGTGGCTATCCCCCTCGGGGAGTGATTTCTAACTTTTTGCCTCTGTCTTTATCGCTGTCTCTCTGGCAAATACACTTGCCCTGTAGCAAAAATCTCTCTTTAAAAAAAAAAACTTGTACAATTCTGCAAGAACTGAGCCATTGCCTCTCTGGTTCTTCATGTAACATAAAGGTTAAACTGATACCTAGACTCACTGAAGGATTGCATATCCACTTTATAACCTTCCATGACAATTATTTTGCATAAAATAGTTTTGGGAAAAAATAAAGAAGAAAGAGTTGAAATAATCTTGAAAAATGAGTAAAAGCTTAGGAGATTTTGAGTTGTTGATATTATCATCTTCCTCATACTCCGTAAGAGCTCTGGAATAATTTCTTGGCTACTGAACTATGTCATGTTCATGATGCCATAAGAATAATGCTTGCTGGGAACCAGCAGTTAGCGTAATGGCTATGTCGCTGGACTCCCACGTAGTCGACCGAGGCGCGTGTGCGTGCGTGCCCAAGATCCTGAGAGGAGAATGGAGCAGGAGGGATTGCGGCGTGGCCATCCCCCCTGGGGGGTGATTTCTCACTTTCTGTCTCTATGTCTCTCTCTGTCTGTCTGGCGAGCGCATGTGCCCTATAGCGAAAAACCTCTCCAAAAAAAAAAAAAAAAGAATAATGCTTGCCTTTTAAGTTTCAAATGTGTATTTGACAACTGAAGCTTAAAATAGCTCTTATTATAAACTTCCAGGAGATAGAAAGGGGCAACGTAATGAAACAGGTGAGAAAGTTGTGCTTGTTCTGCAAAAATGCTCAGTATTAAGACACAATGATGGTTTTAAATATGTTAAACAAATCATAAATCTCCTACACTGCTTTCAGATGCAATCTTACTTGTGTATGTTAATTATTGTACTTCATGGCATTCATTCTCTAAGATCTAGTTGGCCTTTCTTCTACAATTATGTTAGAACACAACGATAACCTTGAAAATTGGTTTTCCAACTCTTCATTGTGGTTACTTCTACAGTTCCATAATCATGCATGATCATGTTTTCTTTTTCCAAATCAACAGTCATCCTCAAGAATAACACTGTACCCTTTAAAACCCATGTGTAACATGTAGGTGGGTGACTAAAGCAGGACCCAGCTTTAAACGTTGCCCTCGAAATGTTTCACAACACATGTTCACGGCTACAAAAATATTAATGACTAGAAAAGTCAATATTTAATCTTTATGTTCCATAGTTTTGCACAAAACAACATGCTTGGCTTGGGACACACTGTCCTTATGAGATACTACTCTTTATACTTGCCAACTTAATATTTTTGTCAACTGTTTCCATCTTGGCCAGACTAACTGAATTGGCACATTCTCCATAATGAAGCGTGTCAAATGTGAAGGCTGCTGAGTAAAATAATCTCAGACAAACATCACTGGGGATTTCCCTTCCTAAAACGCTCTCTAGTTTTTTCCAGTGACTCTCTTACAACTTCGTTGCCTTCACAACCCCCATTTGTGTTTCTTTTTTTCTATCAAACAATTAGAAACTGTTTTGTTTTGTTTTGTTTCCTTTGTGGGGGGGGGGTCTCCTGTTTGCAAAGTTAGTGTCTATCTTCATTTTAAAGGGTCTGTTTTTTTTTTTTTCTTTTTTAACATCTACATACTTATATAGGCAGGACACAAGAGGAGAAAAATATTTTAAGAGAAAATGGAGTTGAAATATTGAAGTCTGTTCTCTCTTAAACTCTTTTTGTCTTTTCTCCATGGCCTGGTTCTTTCAACTTCAAGCTCCTCGTTGCTTTGTGACAATGCCTTTAGAATGACATATCCCAAATAATAAAGATAGCTAAAGATGCAAGTCATTTATTAAACTCTCCTGGAAATATTCCAAATTTTTTAACAATCTTTTGGGATAAAAATGGTTTATTCCAAATTATTTTTTCAGACTTATTTCTCTCACACATTTTCTCAAATCCCACAATTTAACTGGTATCAAACTTATATGTGATAATTTAGCCAAAATTATATGTCAGACTTCTTGGCTTCTTTTTTTTTTTTTTTTTTTTTTTAAACTTTTGAAACCTAGCCTGGATCCCCTAATGTATTTTCTAAAGTTCTTGGGAACCAGCAGTTAGCGTAATGGCTATGTCACTGGACTCCCAAGTAGTCGGCCGCGGTTCGCATCCCGGACCCAGTGGCTTAAAACTCACGCCAGGTGCGTGTGCGTGCGTGCCCAAG